AGATATTGCTGATGGCCTAGTCTCCACAGCGAGTTGAAAAGGCAAAGAAGATAAAGGTACAAAGATAATAGACAATAAAGTTGTATCTTTAGGGAGTTTTCAGGAAACAATATGATATTTCTAAAAATCAGATACAGTAATGTGAATGCCACAATCATTCTGGGCCTGGTTGTGGAAGCTTTTATACTCTGATCAAAATTTTTTATTGACAGGGTCTTGTTAAATGGACAGAACAAATTACAAGCTCTTTCAGTTACACTGAACACAACAAAGCAGCTCAATAGCTTTAATTAATCAGACCAAATTCTGAACAGCACTTCAAGATGAGCAAGTAGGATAATTAATTATTTTATCATTGCGGAATGAGTATACTGAGAACAAGGAAGTATTTTACATGGGGGAAAAAAATGATATACTCCCTGACAATATCATTTTAAAAAAGTGTGGATAGTTGGAGAGGATCACACAAGTCTTGCTACTTACGCCAATGTTTGCTGCGATAGACTTTTATATATTATTCCAAAATCCACCCCATTTACATTGATTTAAACACAAAAATCTAGCCATTTTTTTTAAATGCGAATCTGCTGACTTTTTATTACATGTCCATCTTCAAAATGTAAACATTTTTAGCACACAAAATATATTTTAAAAATATTTAATATTTATTACTATAAAATGTAAAAGTCATTGTGTTGATTAAGTTTCAGTAATGAATTACTCTTAGTGCCAATTTTTTTATAGCTTTGCTGATGTAAACAGTATTTCAGCTTAATAAGTTTGACATCATTTATAGATAAAAGATAACCCTTTTGTATCAAACTTGACAAAATAAAAGGATCTAGTTGAGCTATCTTACTTAAATGTGTCACTGATTGCTTGTTTTAGCTCTCAAAGAGATAAATATTTTCCTGGTAAGTCAAAAAGGCCGAGAGCTAAACTGATCTTACAATCTTTCAAATACATGTAGAAATCTTAAGAGTTCATGTGAACAAATAAATCTGGAAACAAAATATGCTTTTGAGTAAAAGCTTTTACTATTTATCATGTCATGTCACTTGGTAATCCCTCAAAATTTCCATCAATGGGTTTGTGTTGCAGAGTAATTACCTTTCTACTGCAATACTAGAAATTCTCTAAAGCTGACTGCAACTAGAATTATAAGCTCACTAACAATAAAGACAACCACTAAAAACAAAGTTTTTCATTTAAATCCTTTATATGCATTTTTGTTTGCATTTATGTCATTGTATGTAACTTATCACTTATTAAGAAGCGGTTAGGTAAATGGATAAACTTCTGGCGAAAGCACATTTCCTATTTCCTTCATTTTCCCCTTCAAGAATACATTTTATTTTTACTGCATACCCTAATACATCACAAATACAAAGCACATAGCAACAGCTAAACAATTAATCTCAAAACCAATACACGCACCCATGGAACAAACCATACTTCATTCATCTTCCACTTGAAAAAACAGAAAAACAGATTTTGGGTGGTTGGGGCTGAAAATTTGGTAGAATGTGTTGTCACAGGCAATGAGTCTATGTGCCAAGTTTCAGTTTGAATGGTTAAACGGGGAGTGGGTCAACTAGGCTTTCAACGATTAGGCCTTAAACACAGACACACAAACAAAAGCAAAGTTAATATAAAGGATTTAAAAGCAAGAATGGGCACTGCAACCATGTCTCATTATATAGAAGTATAACCACACAAAAAAACACTTAAGTCAAGTTAAATGAAAGCTTTTAAAAATGGTGGAAAAAATTATAAAATGTGTTTTTAAAAAACTGGGTAAATATTTTACTATCTGCAAAACAATTTACAGAAAAAAAAAAAAAAAAAAAGTAAGTCTTAGGGCTCATTCTCAAACTCTGCACATTTCTAAACCCAATAAAATTTAAATGAAAGATTTTAAAAATGGGGGAAAAAATTATAAAAATTGTTTTTAAAAAACTGGGTAAAAATTTTACTATTTGAAAAAAAATTAAAAAAAAAAAAAAAAAAAAAAAAAAGTAAGTCTTAGGGCTCATTCTCAAACTCTGCACATTTCTAAACCCAATAAAATTACTAAGACAAATTTGATTCAGAAATCACATTAAGATCCTTAGAGAAACTTTAAAGATTAATTTCAGTGCACTTTCAAGATGATTGTCTTAGGTAAAATGTCAATAAATCCTTTGCAGTGGCAAATTGCTCTTTTAAGAAATCAATACAATGGCATACCAAAGGCTGTTCATTTGATATAAAGCCAAAAGACCATGTTTTTCTGATAGCTTTAATCAGTGGTGGGATTAAATTTTTAAAAAAGTATGTAAAATCTGTTCCCCTTTGCAATACCCTCACTTGTCAAAGTTTATATAGTTTAAAAATAACATAAATTTTGTAGCTTCTTTTAAATACATCTATAAAAACAATAAATATGGCAACTAAAAATCTTGTCTGAAAACCGTCTTCATCTACACAAATAGCTAATCTATTATAAAAACCACTGAAACTTATCAAATTATGGAACAGAACAATCTCAAATCAATTTGCTTCAATGACGATAGGTTTAAAATTACCTTGCAACTAAACAGGTTAAGACAAAAATAACTGATTCTTTTTATAATGGAGCAAAATTTGAAAAAGGTGATGGCAGATGCACTTTTAGCCTTGAGTATTGCCAACTAATGCCTAATGACAAATGAGCAAGTCATGATTTTCAGACTATTTACAGGCCACAAAACCCATTGCAAGATTTTATATCAATAGTGTAAGAAAAGAAATGGTAATGCATCTTCCAAAATATAAATTTTTCCATTAAAGTCTTTTCATGACTTTTTATATTACTCTGGATGGTTCAATTGGATTTAGGGGCAATCCATAAACAATGCCAGGGGGGGGGGGGGGCTGTTTAAAAATCATCCACTAAATTAGTGTGACATTTATGAGACCTGTGAATAATTGTGGTTTCTAAGGAGCTTGAAAGTTAAATGGGAGGTTGGTGGAATTATTTACAGGCCACAAAACCCATTGAAAGATTTTATATCAATAGTGTAAAAAAAGAAATGGTAATGCATCTTCCAAAATATAAATTTTTCCATTAAAGTCTTTTTATGACTTTTTATATTACTCTGGATGGTTCAATTGGATTTAGGGGCAATCCATAAACAATGCCAGGGGGGGGGGGTGCTGTTTAAAAATCATCCACTAAATTAGTGTGACATTTATGAGACCTGTGAATAATTGTGGTTTCTAAGGAGCTTGAAAGTTAAATTGGAGGTTGGTGGAATACAGTACTTTGAATATCCATCCTGTGCAGCAATGATACCATTGCCTGCCTGTCAAACAAGAGTTATCAGGTTTGAATCCTTCTAAGCTAATCCCAGCTACTGGGGAAGAAGGTAAACCCCGAGAAGAAAAAAAAACCTGATGTGGGACAACAGACCACAACTTGGAGAGAATTCCATTGTTTTGGGGCACAGAAAGAGAAAGATTGTTCACCATATGTTTTAGTGCGTGTTCCGTGAACAGAAAGAATATGCAAGTCTGCAGAGGAACGAAGCTTTCGAAGGGGTGAATAGACAGTAAGAAATTCAGTAAGATAGGAAGGATAGGAACCAGAGAAAAAGTTGTGACAGAGAACAGACAGCTTGTAATCAATGTGTGCCTGTATGGGGAGCCAATTAAGTGAGTGAAGTAAGCCAATCCATAACCATTAGCTAATAAGGCCTTATTCCCCTTATTTTATAGTTTACTTGACTTAATTAACTTAGCCTGAAAATTTGATAGAATGATGTGTTGTCATCAGCAACAAGTCTATGTCCCAAGTTTCCGCTCAATAGGTTGGCGGGAAGTGGATCAATTAGCCATCCAAAGATTTTGCCAGCCTGCCACCCAGCAGCCATGAACAAAAGTGAAGTTAATATAAAGGATTTTATAGAAGCTTTATTGTCTGTAGACATACTATAATTTATAAGTTAAGGTAAGGCATAGTTACAAATAAGGATGTAGCTATAATTTATAATAATTTAAATAATTAAGCTTTACTTAACTTATAAGAACACCTGAATAATTATTTCATGGCCCACATCCCACAGTCTATAATCTATAACAGCCTTAACAGGCTTATGGCACTTATGGGCAGTAATAGTAATGGCTAATGAAATGTCATCATGCCTATAATATTAATATTAATATACTAATCGAATCCTTATACTAATATATTCCCTACACTATATAAATATAATCTATACTATCCTATTGCAATTTATAGTTGTGTATTGCCTGCGAGTGTGAGTTTGGCACCGTGAGTTTTGCTCTGTGACGATATCGCCAGTGATTATTGACTAATTATAACAATCATATTGATAATAAATTTAAAAAAATAACATTTCAGATCTGCCCTAAGACTAAGAGTACCTAAGACGACAGCTAAGTCTAAGTGAAGTGAATTCAACTTACTGTAAGTTATTTATTCGGCACAAATTATAAACAAGATAAATTCTTACCACAATATCAAGTTTAGAATGCAAATATATTTTCTAACACACTTCTCCACTCATTGGGATACCGCCTAGTTATTAATTTCCTGCTTACTCGACACAGTGCAACGCACGCACGGACAGTTGACATCAATTTTACATTTTAACTGGTAAACATCATTTTTTTAAATGTTACATTTGGGCTTCAGAGTTTCAAAGGCATAAGGTTCTTTTTACTTTTATACTCTTTTAACTTCTAAGACATGCAAACAATGTGAACACTATATAAACTATATATATCTGTTTGTTTTTTTTTAAATTGACATTATAATAAGAAGAAACACGTGAAATAACATTGCTTGCACGCAATACCAAACTTTGCTCGCTTAAATCCGTGATATCCGTGTGTAATGCTTTATTTTCCGCTAGTAACGATATTCCCGTAAATATTTGTTATGCATAGACTACTGAAGATTAATACGGGGTTCTATTTGGCAATTCAAAAACTGACCTGGCATTGTCGCTGGGTTAGTGCAGAAAAAAGCAATCTGCATGGAGATTGTTATTGAAAAGATTTTAAAAAGTATTTACATGCAAGTGGATCATGTGCGAAGATTCATTGCATAGCTTAATATTTTTATAAGAGACTGGGGCTTATATTACTTGCTTTCTATTGATTAATAGTAAAGAAGTCGGTACAAAGAAGCAATGTTTCGGAGCAGGATTAACCATTTGCTAAGGCAGGTGATTTTTTACTAGTAGTAAGTAGCAGTAGTAGTAGAGCCGATTATGCCCTGATCGATTTGACTTATGTCACTTATGTCGAAAACAAAATTTAAAAAAGTCGGCCAATGAATGATGTCTGCTCGAAAATGAGCTAATATATGCCTAGCCGTTTTAGTTAACATTAATATTGACAATTAGTAATGTCAATGTCCCTGGCCCTGATCTTCAAAGTGAAAGAGTATTTTAATTGTGGGCAAAATAATAGTCTTAGATCTAGTCTTAGTCATGCATGCATTATAACACTGACATTATAACTATAATATTATAATATAAATATAATAAAAGTGTAGTATTCAATATGTTGTCATGACATGACAACATAAGTCATGTATCTGACTTTTTTGTATATCCGTAAGACTAAGACACTATCAAATTCAGTTAAAGTAATCACAATAATGAATGATGATTGAATGTACTTTGACTGAAATTTTACATTCAAACATTAGCCCTAATATCACTGGCAAGGGCAAGAGCCTGCTTTCAGTTTCAGCTATTGAAAGACTCCAGAATCTCTTATCTCCCATTCAGTGATTCACTGACTTAGGCTATACACATTTTTAACTTTTCTTCTAATATTTCTACTTCTATGTATAGTCATAGTATAGGCAACATAGGACTGGCATTATATTAAACTCATCAACTTGCCCCAGGATAAGGCAGTTAAGCAGTCACCCTAAAAAATTAAAGACTGAAAATTATTAACTTTATTCTATGTATAGTGGCATTGAGTCATTATTTTTTTTAATTGTTTGCTTGGCTTAGGACTAGTTGATGAGACCTATGAATAATTGTGGTTTCTAAGGGCTCAATTTTTATTGTGGTAATATGCACACACTTTAATTCTTACTGTTTCTGCCCTTTTGCTGAAACACATTGTCATCATTTCAACTTAATGCAAAAACAATCTATATATCCAACAAATTATGCTCATAATTGTGTGTTGTAAACAAACAAATGAGGGAAGGCGGCTGGTCTTGCTGCATATATGAGGGATTCAATAAATTATATAGCTGTCACGCTCAGGCCCTACCTTTTGTACATATAATATTGGCTGTAAATAAGGTCCTATTAGAATGAATGTAAAACATGTAGGTCAAAATCTATATATATAACATTGTCAATGACTTAAATCTGAGTGAATAACTTTCATTAGTTGAAAAAAATGATATTTTTACCAAAAATTGAGTGCTGCACCTTTCATAGTAGACCATGTATATGATCCTATTTTTTCACCAAATAAAATAACCACTTTATTTTATTTTTAACTCAAAAGCATGCTAAAAATGTACAAAAAGAGTAATTTTATTTATAAAAATTATTTATGTAAGCCAAATTAAGTAACAGCACGAAATGAAAATAATAACAGAATCGGGTCACAAAATGTGGTAAGGCAGGCCATAGTTAAAAGGACAAACTCCCGTTTACAAGAATTTACTGCCAAAAACCACTAAAGAAAGTTTTTTAACTTTAAGTTTGCTCTACATAACTATAATTTTTGGAATTTAACATTTATTCTTATGAAAGTCACTAAGGCCAGGCCATGTTCATTTCAAATCAGGCTAGACCTATTTGAGGAAGGAAGCATTGTGATATAACCATCACATATTATGCTTAGGTTGTTCCTCACAGTAACCAACACAGGCCTTAATTCATTTTTTACAACTTATTCTGTCTTTGCATTCAATTCTAAAAACTGATTGAATAATTACCCTTTTCAAACTTAAAATTTTTAAATTTGTTTTTGAGCAATATATAACACATAAATAGTAAATTATTTTTGTTATCTTTATAAAATATGATGTTCAATTAGGTTTACCATACACCTAAACCGGTTTTGCATTGTTTCCTGGTTTTCATCTCAGTTTGGTAGAAATGCTAGATCATCTAGTTCAAACTAGTATGCATTAAGAAGTGAAAAGTAATATGCCCAAGTTTACAGTCAGTAATCTTCTCATGACTATGATAAGTTCTCCGGTACTAAGGTCTTCAGAGATTTAAAAATAAAAGAAATTATAAAGACATTACTATAATGTAGATTCAGGAGAGAACTATAAATGTATGAATAGTTTAGCCCAAATGGCTTATTGTCATGAGTTAACTCTTTGTGGGCCACTTGTTATTACACCTAATAAATAATATAAACACCAAATAAATGATGTACAGAACTATTTATTCATTCTTAATGCACATGTTCAAGGCTATACAAGACCACTTTAATAATAATAACAAAGGCAAAGTGTGCAATCTGTAGACATATGAAATGCCTGATGATCCTAGTTACTAGTATGAAATGAATTAGTCATTATACACATTGCCTAGACTGGACTTGGGCAAAGTATATAATAGTATGAAAGGGATTGGAGTTGTTATAAACAAAAATGAAAGCAGGGGCAACAATATTTACAGTTTTTCAATTTTTTTTTGCATTTATGGCAGAAGTCTGAATTTCAAATACCTTGCTGACATAATGCCTTTTTTTATTAACTAAATTTTTTTTTTCTATTTTTGGCCCTTGGTGTTACACATGCACTTAACACCTTTTTGCCCAGGTCCATTAGAGCTGTTGCAGCTGACCTGAGTAAGATGTGTTTGTCCATTGAAATGTCATTTAATGGCAATAAAGGCTTCTTATCTTACACACAGAAAACTGAGTTGGGTGGACCATCCCTGCTGTTGATAAAGAAACAATATTACTTTTAATTTAAAGCATCTGGTCAAAATCTGTTTAAAATTGTCCAAAATTTAGCTAATATATATAGTTAAAACCGTATAGGAGTTTTTAATGAACATTGAAATTTACAATACTGTCAAAATCTCTAAAGTTAATGTAGTTAATGAGAGGGAGAATAGGTCTTACTCTTTTTGAAAAAATGTAACACTAGGCTGTTCATTAATTTAGCCATTAAATTCGACTTCTACAGAGTAATTAAAGTAATGGTCTCTCTACTTATTATTGCTGCTTGCAGGGTAACCAGCAGCTGAGATGCAGTTTGTTTGATCTATCCATATTTGTGATGTATAATATTTCCATCTAGGGCCTATCCCTCTTTGAATCTGAGGGTAGAAGTTCACAAGGATCAGCACAAGGCCTTAGCATTGCTGCCTGGTCTTCGTTTTGATGACATTAGCCACACTGGTAGGAGATTGTTATTCTCATTTTCAAAATTTGCACACTGCCTATTGTCATTGTTGCGTCTCAACTTTGGCATAATCACCTTGTTTTCCTTATACATTTAACAAAGATTAAAATGAAAAGCAGTTAATCTGTAGATGTATATAATTTTTATCAAACAATGAAACAAATTGTAAAACTCATTCTTGCGTGCGATATGCATAAAATTGTTGTATTTTTTGTGTTTACCTCAGGGCAACCTGACCTGCACAGATTAATGAATATCATCGGCCGCGTGGAACATGCAGCACTATATGAAAATATGAATTCTTTTTTAGATTATCAAAATCTAAATCGTAAAGGAATAGGCAGCTATACTAGAGCCATTGTTATGGAGATACGTCGGCATTTTTATGAGACAACAACTCCAAAATCACCTATTCAGGTAAGAACAGACTATTTACAGGTATTTTGAAGTTAATAGAGTTAGTGATCGATAGTTTCTGGTTCTGGGCAAAAATTGATTTTGAGGCCTTTGATGGGAAATTACAAAGAGCAAGACTTTTTCTTAAATTCACTGATGGGCTCTCTTCATCCTCCGTGGGGGTGTGGGGGGGGGGGTGAGGCTTTTTACCCTTCCCCAAAATAACAGCCTCACAGGCTTAATGGGGTCCATCAGGTTAGTTGTGGGAGATCCCCTCTTTATAGCAGGTTGCCTTTTCAAAGGTCATCACAACGCAGTGCTGGCATTTGTAGGTAAAAGCAAAATTGCTGCCTTCTTATCTTGGATCAAAACATGCCAGCATTGTGTCTGAGACTCAAAATGGTTTGATTAAATGAAAGAATTTTTGTAAGTTACAGGAAAGCATTTTGTAAGTTAATACACCTGGAAGGTCATGATAAAAAAACTTAAACTTAACTTGTTAAAATACATTTCATTTGTGTAGGTGTCCCTGAGGTTGACAGGGATGATGGACACCATGTACACAGTTCGTAGCAGTGCCACATTTGGAGGAAGGCAGCGTGCCTCGATTATGGTCAAGTCGTGCAACTCCCTTGTCCACCGTGAGTCGGGGCTCACGGAGCAGATTCCAGATTGGTGGAGACTCAAATTTTTACGTTTGTTACCTGAAATGCCTGACAACTATCGCCCCGTTCAGCCCCCAGACTCTGTGGGTAAAACTTTTTCTCACAATGTGCTTGTTCCACTCAGGGACACAGACACCAGCGGAAGAACCAGACACCCTTCTTACACCCGATATTTCCAAGATAACATCAGCATAGCGGCCAGCCACAACTTCTACCCCAACTTGGCCAACATGCTCCATGATTATTACGTCATGAGGATCTCGGTGGTACATTTCTCTCCCAGTGTCTGGGGAGACTCGTTGGTCGTGGAAACATTTCAGGACCCAAAAGATGAACTTAAGCTGCATTGTTTTATAAGCAAGGATGGCTCAATAAAATGGTATGGCTGTTTGGAATATTACGAGGCCATGTGTGAACCAGAGGTGGAAACACCTGCATATATGCTGAAGTACCCATCCCCCAATACGATATAAATTTAAAGTTGCTGCACTTAACTGCTGCCATGATTTGCATGAACATATAGTAAATAAATTTTCAAAATGTTGTTATGAATCACGTTTCCATTAAAAAAATAATGAAAAATACAGAGAAATTTTGATCATCAACAACATGTAAAACCTAATTAAATAAATTATTTATTGTGTGTTCTCAACAAAAATCTAACTTGAAGATGTATAAAGATAAGAAATAACTTATATCAAAGTGAATAGTGAATTTATATGGGTTATAAGAAAGATGGCATTCATTGTTTTTACGTATATGCCTTATTTGAGTTATCATGTATGTTAAACATTGTAATTGTATAGCCCTCAAAATAATATTTTACTTCAAAGTATGTCATGCGCTCAAATGACTTTTTTTTAGATTTTTTTTTTTAAAAGTTTTCTATAATTGCTCTCATGGGTATGAAAGAGCATTAGGGATGAAGCAGTTATATCAAGCATTAGCTCTGCATTGGTATGTGTAGATTAGTTGTTGAATAACATACCCACTGCTCTCGTAAAAGGCTGAAATCACTTAGTCAAACTGTAGATACATGTAACTGTTAAGGCTTCTACACATTTATGTATTATTTTCTTGTTAAATTTGAAGATTTCTTTTGAAAAATTTTGTGATATCCCCTTGTAAGTGGTATATAACAATTTATTATAAGTTAGCTATTCAATAGGAGAAAGCACTTACACATCATATGGCAAATTTGGATTTGCAGCATCATTATCCAACCTTCAAATGGTCCCGTAATCAACATCTAACGCAATGTGGCCTACAAAAACAATCAACAACTGACAAAATTTTCTTCAACCAACTTACCTAATGAGTTTAATAGGAGGGATTCAATTATGTATTTTAAAAATTTAAGCACATGATAATATATCATCATCTTCATTCATTGACAGAATGATCAGAGCGTTGAAAAATAAGAGCCTATGTGCCTCTCTGTCAGCGTTATAAAAGATTTTAAGTTTAAGGTGGATAGTAACCCTGAAATGGATAAAGTTATGGGAAACATATTTGAACTTTATAGTTTCTATACCTAATATAGTTACTTTGCGGGGTGCCATTGACTGCATTGAAGGATCAGCAACGCGATTACTTATTGCTCACTTACAGTAAAGCCTTTAATAACAAGCCACAACTTTTTTTTAATAGAAATTAACCAATGAATATGACAATTTTAAACCATATTTCCAACCACTTGTTCATTATGTATAAGGTAGTAGTAGTAGCAAGTTTAAAAACATGTTTCTGTAATTTACATGAAAGATCTTTTGAAAGATTTTTTTTACACTCTTTGATCTGTACTGCCTTTTGCATGTATATAACTTAGCATCGAAAGATCTCTGAGCTTTTTACCCAAGTTTACACGAGATCTCCAATGCTCTTATCAAATGACTTATGCTTAAGTAGATAATCAAGATGATGATATTGAATGCTCCTCATACAATGGAGATATCTTAATGATTAGCATTTAACTGTATATATGCGATAGCGTTCTTTGAAGAAGCTGTCATGAATATGAGATGTGACGCTTAGGCTAGGCTTTAGACTTAAATTAAGCTTCACATTTCTGTCTTGTGATGCCTCTTTACAGCCTTTTCAAGGGTGAAGCTCAATTTTTCAAAGTCCGTTTTAAATCTCTCCCTCCAAGTCTTCCAGATTCTCTGGTTCCCTTTGATGGCATCCAGTGCAGTGCAGTTTTAGCTTTTCCCTTGCTTTTTTTAGGCCTAGGATATGCCCTGCTTTTGTAGACTTCTTATGATTTTCCTTGCTTTTATAGGCCTAGGATATGCCCTGCTTTTTGTTGGCATAGGATTAGTCTAGCTAAATATATTCTGTACATAGCCACAGTTGTTTTCAGACTTCATCTCAGGAATTTATCCAAAAAATAAATGCCAAAAAACGAACTATTCAACTTGTATGGTGTTTTGGGGCTTAATCCCTCTGACCAATTACCATCCAGAGAACAGAGTTTACTATATCTGTCGGATCAGTATATAGTTAATACTATTTCTCAATTGAAATAGTTATTGTCTTGTGAGAACACTGTAAATTGTGTGTATTATGAAAATTAAAATATTTCAAGTAAAAATTCACTTTAAGCAAGTTTAGTATGTAGTATAGAAGATATTATTTCTTTAATATTTTTTTTTTTACAAGATTTAAATAGTCTCCCTCAAGCAATACATTGATATTTTAACTTGTATTTTTTAGAGATTTTTTTTGGACATACATTGAGGGGCAGGACCACCCATAGAAAATTCATGATGAAACAATGCAAACATCAGAGAATGAACATAATAAGCCAGCATTATGAAAGTAAATATTGTTTTGTTTTCAAAAATATTTACTTCAGAATGGGACTGCAAATAAACCTTAGAGAATGTAAACAACTCACAGTTTGTCAGATTGGCCAGCTGCCTCGAGAATCTGTAAAAATGCAGCATTTGTTAGAGCACCCTCCCCTCATTCCATACATAATATAGTGATAGCCCCCCTATCATGCTACCTATAGCCCCCTATCATTCTACCTATAGCCCCCTATCATGCTACCTATAGCCCCCTATCATTCTACCTATAGCCCCCTATCATTCTACCTATAGCCCCTTATCATGCTACCTATAGCCCCCTATCAT